AAGTTTGTTTAAATGTATGACCTTGAATCATATTCAAGGTCACAAGGAGCAAATATGTTCAAAATATTTAAACAACTTGTTCTGAATAACCAAAAGGCTCAGGTTGTTGATATTTAGTCAGATCAAGGACTACTATGTTTGTTAAAGTGAATGACTTTGACTTATATTCAAGGTCACAGGGGTCAAATTTGTTTAAAATCTTTAAACGACCTCTTCTGAATAACCATGGGTCCCAGGAAGTTGATACTTTGCAAGTTGCATACTGAGATGAAAGGCTATACAATTTGTTCAACATAATGACTTTGTTCGACTTTCAAGGGGTAAAATGTTTTAAAATCTTTTAACAGGTTCTTTTGAATGACTTTAATCATAAATACTGATATTTTGCCTGTAGTTTTATTTTAGATCACTTTTAAGGTTGCAAGTGTGAGATTTATACCAGGTGAGCGATGCAGGCCCATTGGGCCTCTTGTTTGTGGATTATATGTGTACTGTAAAATATACAGAAGCAGAAGCACCATTGTTTATGATTTAGGACAAATAGAGATGATGTTACAGTCACTTTATACAAGTATATATGTTATCACTATTGACCTGTGATGTTTTCCCTTGACACATTGTTATCTCCCTTGACACATTGTTATCTCCCTTGACACATTGTTATCTCCCTTGTCATATTCTCCAGCTGTTCAAGCACCTCCAGTGGTCCAACAGAAGACAGTATCTCCTGCTAAAGTTGTTATTCCGCTGCCAGAGGAGTCGGAAAATGTCACACGGTGGATCGTTGACCAGCATTTCCGAAGAGAACAAGAACGGCTTAAAATACCATTTGGTAAGTTGTCAAGTGTCCCATTTAAGCTGTGTCCTTGCATAAATTACCAATTGTTTTATTGAATCATCCCTTAGAGTGAAAAGAGTTTGTAAACCAGTTGTGCATCACATATTGGCATAGCTATTTTCAATATAACAATTTCCAGTACCTGTATACAATATTATCAACAACAACAACAAAAAAGTAGTTTTAACATGTATTTAATGTGTACATAATTTACCCTGTGTTTAGGCCTAAGCCAAGCTAATTTATCATTACCAGACTAAACGAAAGTGGATTGGAATTAAAAGTGTAGTCAATATTGCAATATCTTTGACAAGTTCTTTCTTTTAACCCTTTCAACCCTATGCAACTTAAGTAGACTCTACCATGCATTGATGTGGATGAGTCCATTATGGTCTACAGTGGTGAAAGGGTTAATAAACAAACTGACTAGACTGTGATATTTGTCTGTGTCCAGACCCCGTCCAGTGGAGTGAGGTCCACGTGAGACACTGGATCGAGTGGGCTATGAAAGAGTTTCAGCTGGATGGAGTAAACGCAGATATGTTCGGCATCAACGGCAAACAACTGTGTGAGCTGTCACACCCAGAGTTTATCAAACTCATTCCAAATGATAAGGGGGATGTGTTCTGGACCCACCTTGAACTCCTCAGGAAGTGCAAGTTTGTTGGTAAGTAAAGGTTGGATGTGGGATGCATCTCAAAACGTTCTTTTGAAAATCAACACAACACAAACATGTTAGTGTCTGTGTGAGGGGGAGAATGAATATAAAAATAAGTAAAATTCAAAATAGAAGTTATTTGAAATGTATAAAGCAGATCATGGTTTATTTATATACATGTATCTGAAGTCCAGTTTGTGTGTGTAGTTCATATCAAGTATGAATGCCAAATATAAGTAGTTTATGTCATGTGTCGATGAAAGTTTTATATTATCTTCAGAGTTTGATCAACTTTCAATTATCTTTTTACTCATTCGCCCCTGAAATTTTATAATGAACTATTGCAGCTTTTGAATTGGAAGGGTACAAATGTGTCCAGGGGTGAATGAGTTAAAAATATAATGTTTATGAATGCAAATTTAAAATGAATATCACTATAACTGTATATTCAGTATCTATTTCATAGGTTATTGTGATATCATTATGATATTGTAAACAGAATAGTATAAAGGATATGATTGGTGCTGGAAGTTTAGCCTACAGCCTTCTGTGAAACACAGATACTCTAAAAATAAAAGCTGTAAGAAATCAAAACATTGATGAAATGGGAAACAATAATTGAAGTAATATTCAGACTTGTGCCTGTCTAGTGCCAGCCCCTTATCAAACTGAAGAACACTCTACAAATGATTTGATTTCAAATTGATATCTTACATTTCTGCATATCATTTGTGATAATCCACAATTACATCACGGCATAATCTTGTTGATAGTAAGATGTCAGTTATAATGTTGTTTATAGTAAGATGTCTGTTATAATATTGTTTATAGTAAGATGTCTGTTATAATGTTGTTGATAGTAACATGTCTGGGTTTTCCCCTTTAGCTGTGATGCAGCAACCCACACCACATGCCATCACAACAATCACTGTGTCGACGTCAGGGGGACAGGACGGTGAGTTATCTCCCTTTCATGCTTTGATGTAAATCCATCAGAGCTGTAACGGATGAAAATCTTTTATAGAATGAATTATGAATATGAAGTGCTGTTTTAGATGCTTATTTCTGGGTGAACACTGTTCTTGGAGGGATAGGAATACAAATTTAGTTGCTAGCAGTGTTAACTGGATATAGATTTCATAGGGATTGATGCTTTAAATTTGTAATATAATAAAAGCTGTGACACAGAATATCCAGGTTTGTCATTCTATATTTTGTAAAAATCAATGTTAGTACATGTAGTTTCAGATGTATAGATATTGTATGTTCACAGGCCGAGTGCGGACAATCAATGTTAGTACATGTAGTTTCAGATGTATAGATATTGTATGTTCACAGGCCGAGTGCGGACAATCAAACATCATCGACCTCGATCTCCTCGTATCACTGGTGACGAAAGACTCTCCTCTCCCGGGAACAGAACAGGTGAACTCTTTTTCTACATTTTGTTTTGCCTTGAGCAGCTTTTATTAGTTACAACTCTGTTTGTGAAAGTAGGACAAATTTCTCGCAGACAGTACAAAAAAAATGAAAACATCTGATGCAAATATTTTTGAAAGGAAAGAGAACTTAATATGATATTGGTATCAAGAATTAGTTTAAACAGATGAAATCATGGTAGTAAGTTATACATGTATTAGCTAAATAAAATAAAATTACAGGGCATTTCAAAAGTAAATACTTATGTGGAAGGATAACAGTATTTTCCAGATATGGTGAATATTTTAGGGGAAACGGGGAATTTTCAGATGAATTCTGTTACAATAAGAAATGTAGCCTAGCTACCGATAGTAAAAATATTTTGTGTTTCAGGTAGCCCTACCTACCGTAATTTTAAGTGCCTATCCTAAACATTTTTGTCAATTTCCCTGTTCATTGTTTATAGTCTGTATCATATTTCTCATCTGTTATGTATCGGTCCAGGGGCCCAGAGAGTGAAAGTCAGCGTAACCCCTGGAGAATCGAGTCTGTACTCCTGCATCCCTTTTCCATGTGATCCCCTTTAGTAGCTCAGTACGTGGGAGTGTTAATGCGTTGGGAGTTTATGTACCACAGGTTCATGTTCTGATTGTTCTGAGTTCTTATTTCTATTGGCTCCTGCAATCAGTCGGCATTCATCCGAAGCTGGTTGAGGTGACGCATCCACTTCATAAGATCACTGATTTTTTTGACACTGATTGTATTTGTTAACATCAGGAAACAACGGTCAGATCCAGCTTTGGCAGTTCCTCCTCGAGCTTCTCACTGACAAAGACTGCCGGGAGGTGATCCAGTGGCTAGGAGACGATGGCGAGTTCAAGCTCAACAACCCTGAAATGGTAGCTCAGATGTGGGGCCAGCGTAAGAACAAGCCTACGATGAACTACGAGAAGCTGAGCCGTGCCCTGCGGTACTACTATGATGGGGATATGATTGCCAAGGTCAGTACTGTAACATAAATGTGTTCCTCTTATATGCAGAGGGCCACTAGCCCTGAGTTATCATTTATGGCCTGGTTTCATTCTAGTGTCTCGCAGTCTAGACAGCAATCTGAAGTTGGATCTGCCAATTTCACCTTGGACTTGGTTTAACACAGAGACTTGCTTTAACACAGATACTTGTTTTAACACAGAGACTTGTTTTAACACAGACTTGTTTTAACACAGAGACTTGTTTTAACACAGAGACTTGGTTTAACACAGAGACCTGTTTTAACACAGAGACTTTTTTAACACAGAGACTTGATTTAACACAGAGACTTGGTTTTAACACAGAGACTTGGTTTAACACAGAGACTTGGTTTAACACAGAGACTGCCAAGATCTGCTTCCACGCCATTATCTGTATTAGCTACGTTACATCACAGTAACAATACCGACATGACGAGCACTGAAATGTCGTTTTCAGGGTTCAACTTAAACATTTTGGACCTGTATATGTTGATTTAGGCTATTAGTATTCTTTTAAAGCATTTATCTTTGTTGAATGTTAAAATTTATGAGAGTTTCCTCCCTTTATACGAAAAAGAAAAGTTTGCTTGTGTCGGCTGGAATACACACATCACACACATTCCTTACAATTGTTATTTTCCACTTACAGGTGCATGGGAAGAGATTTGTGTACAAGTTTGTGTGTGACCTAAAGATGCTGCTAGGTTACTCAGCTGCGGACTTAAATAGACTTGTAACTGTGTGTGCGGAGAAAAAACTACAGCGAGTGCGTGAATCATTAAGACCAGGTGTGTCCGAACGTCTCGGAGCAACGAAACTGATAACAATGACACAATCGACTGTTCAAACAATGGAATAGCACAAGTTGACCTCTTACCTGTATTATAGTCTGTTTCCTGTTCATTGTTTATAGCCTGTTTCATATTTCTGACCAGTGAATGCCTGTTATGTATGTGTTCATATTCCTCTTTGACCATATATGGCTGTTATGGTCTGTTTCACATTTGACCACAAAATACCAAATTTTGGTACATATTCCTAAATCATTATATGCCTGTTTAAATAGGTCTGTTTTGAATTTCGACCATGAATGAGTGTAAATGTCAACGGCAATGTGTCATGAAACAATCCACAAATTCATTCTTACAATGTCTTGATTGAAAAATCAGGTGTTTTTTCAACAGATTTATGGTTTGTACACTACTGTAATGTTGAAAGAAAAACTCCTCCCTGGAATGGTGAATTCAAGAAGGTGCCAATATCGGAATCATAATTAAGTTTAAAATGGAGATACATATGATACTTGGAGTTGTTGAAATGCTGAAAAATTCTGCACATTGTCAACTTTGAAATTTGATATATACAATATGTAGAGCATCTCAGATACCATAGGATTACCTCAATAAGTTTCTTTCATGAAAGATGAAATGACATTTTCTTTAAGTTAGAATTGTCAGATGGAGCGAACTTAAACGCTGTTGCTTGTGTAACGGGAAAGAGTTGTGTGATCGAACCCGTGACGCCCAGCTTTTCAGTCCGTCGCTATACCGATTAAGCTAAACGGATATTCTATCTAAAGCAAAAGTAGAAGGGGACTGTAATCCTATGTACAATTAAAATCTGGCACATCAGTTTAGAATTTGGAGATTGTTTGATGATTGAAAGCCACACTGGGTGAATGTCGAGTATAGTCTGTTTCATATTATTGACCATGCCATGTTTGTTACAGAGTCTGTTAATTTTTATACGTATGTCAGTGAGTGAGTTTGTATTTGACTTTATGTAAATTTGATATTTAAAGAAATGTGACCTTGATATTTGATGCCATGTGACCTTGACTATTGACTTGAAGCATGAAGTCATGTGACTTAAATTTTCAGGGTCATGTGATGTTGATTGCTCAAGTCATGTGACCTCATATTTAGATCATGTGACTTTGATCGAGTAAGTTATGTTACCTTTATTTAAAGTTGTTTAAACCGAATGTTTGAGGTCAGGTGATTTTGAAAAAAAGGTCATGTGACCTTAATTGCTTGAGGCATGTGACCTCAATGTATCAATCGTTGATTCTTTACAAAAGTTTGATTTTGGAAAGTTAATGAATTTTTTTTGCATTTGACCATTTATTTAAGTGTAAAAATGGAAATTAAGTTTTCTTGACTTTGGATTTTTTTTGGAAATTGGAAAGACAAGGTTTGCGATGTCATGAATTCTTAGAACAAAACTCAAATCGAAAGACAAGATTGATACATAGCTTTAATGTGTATTACTCTGATTTACTTCTATTGTGATCTGGACAAGTTTTCTTGTGAATATTAAATAATTTGAACATTAAAACAGGCACCAGATGTAGACCTGTTAATATATAAGTATATTTGAGGTTTAAATAATTTTTTGCTTTATGGGTGTGTGACTTAATTGAATCTTCAAAAGCTTACAACTAAATTTTATATGACATCTCCATTTTATTTAAGAGGTTTTTTTCAAATTTAAATTTCAAGATAAAAAAATGGTTCATTTTCACTGTAAGCCAGATTTAACAGTATTGCTATGATGTGATCTCCCGACAACATAAATCCTGTTTATATGTTTTAAAATTCGAAGAATGTTGCTTTTATATACATGTAACTTGGGTCACGGTATACAAGCAGAGGATGACCTAGTGAATGGTTCTGTGTTAATTCTACTGCAGGTAGCTACAATGTAGTATGGTAACTGGAACGATCTCTTAACCTTACAGAGTCTGTTGTTTGGTAAATTGAAAGATTTCTTTTAGGTAGAATCTGATTACACAAGGCACGTACTGAAGACTCTAAAGGTTTGACTTATATTTCATTTTTGTAGAACAATTTAAAGGTGTTTCTTTTAGGAGTGGATTAGAGTTTATTATACTGTCAACCATGTCCAACAATTTTCAGGATTACCTCCCTTGTGTTGCATTTCTGACCTAGAGTTGGTTGCCCAATAGCTAAGGGTTATTTATATAGGACATTTATTTACAAACTTTTTTTCCAAAAGAAATTTTGGCTGTGCTATGAGGTTTTAATGTACCTTGATCTACGTGAAAGGGGGTCTGTTCTGTAAATTCAGAAACTTTTGTGATTATTTGACTTGTGATGAATAAACTTGTTGAAATCTTGACGATAACTAGCTATTCCTCCTCTCTCGGGATGAAACTTTTTATCATGTGTAAAATATAAAACTATTCAACACTTGTTGAAATGTTTGGTATCAATCAGGAAAATATATTTTCTGTTGTAAAGTTATCAGTAATTTTAGTTTTCTTCAGAACGTCTGTCTGTCTGGACATCGATCTGTCTGTCTGAACTACAAGTTACAACAAAGTCCTTTTAGATCTTGTCACCTTAACCGTGGAGAGGCTTGATTGTTTTCACAATTGTAAGTTGTCCAACAAATTGTCACTACACCCGGACTTTTATATATAAACTTGAAATACTTTACATTTTTAAGTGAAATTTTCTTCAGATAGTCCTCGGTTATTGTTCATTCTTAACACTTTCTTGGTTATTATTTTTTCTTTAACTGGGTTTCATCACCTTCGTGTAAAAAAATAACCAGATTTCTTTGCCATACATATACGGGGCAGTAATGCAGTGTAAACTGATTTTAGGTGTCATTACTAATCATACAATGTAAGTATGATGGATTTTAGCCAACATTGGAAAAATAGTTATAAACTGATGTGAAAATTTCTGTTGTTTTATAACATGATTGTTGGCGAAAAAAGAACAGTCTGCTGGAGTTTTCTTCCAAACTATGTTAGATCCTTGTAGTAGGCTCATGTGAGAATTGGTTTTATTCCGAAATCAACTTTAATTGGGAGAAAAAATATTACATCAGTTTATATATGTGTTTTCTACTGAAATAACATGACCAAAGTGTCTTACATTGCTGTTGCCTCTGATACCTATCAAGGTATCTAGCCATATACAGGAGAGATAAGAGGTGTGCACAGAATTTATATTGTGGTGAAGATTTTGTGGCTATTTGTACAGTGGAACTTTTAATTGTTAATCGGAATGAGCCTGTCTTGTCTATCAGAGTTGTCTTTCCTTGTTACCACAATGGAGACAAAGTTTACTTTTTAGATCAGTTCTGTTAGGAACCGTTCAACAGATGTATATATCTTATACACTGTATTCCTCATCTCTTCCAGAGAAACTAATATCCCATACTTGAAGTTCTGCAAGTAAAGTTACTGATTAATGTGATTCACAGTTCAAATGCCATTGCTATTTAGTGAAAATTTACCTTTTCAATTCTTGTGAGGAGGTCAGGGTAGGGAGCAAAAGTCTCTGGGTTAAGGATCCCCAGAATAGTGCCAAACAATACTATGAATTTGAAACTTTTTACCAACATGAAAGTTAAAATAGCTTTAAAAATTACGTCTGAAAAGAAAACACAATATTGCAGAGCTATGAAAAAATAAATCATGATGAGGTAAAAACAAATCATCTTTACAGTTTTGAGATTAAAAAAATGCATCAGCGCCCTACTATGATTTGAACCCTATATGCTTAGCATGGATTCTGTGATTAAACCAATTTCTTGTATCTTTCTTCAATCATGTAAAAAGGTCAAAAATTCCTTCTCAATCATTTAGTAAACTGGGGGATTTATTAATTTTTCTCCAACACCTGACAGATTTATCTCCCGTTTTGCCGGTGCTAGATTTATCTGTCTCCGCCCTAGGGTTGAGACGGGGGGATTCCCCTATTCATAACAATGTTGTGACGTCGCTTCAACAATACAATGACGTCACTTCAACAATCCATCAACGACACGTCAACCCTGAATCTAGCATGTAACGTTGTCATTACATTGTGTATATGATACACAATGGGAGAACAGGGTAAGAGAAAAAGAATCATTCACCCCCTTGTGGGTAAGATAGAGGAATCTAAACCCTCGGAAAAAGATTCTTCAGTTGCCAAACCCTCGGCAAAGCCTCGTGTTTGGCAACTTAAGAATCTTCCCCCTCGGGTTGAGATTCCCCTATCTCACCCCCAAGGGGGTGAATGATTCTATATATCATCTGAATAAGCAATTAGGCTTGACCACAGAAATCTGAGTTTGAACACTAGTTTGAGCATGAGAATGGTTTCATGAATACAGGCCCTGAACCTAAGATCACAAAACTAAGCTTTAAACAACTGAGCTAATTGATCACCAGTAGTTTTCCTATAGTATAGGGATCCTTTAAGACGATTTATTAATTTCACAAGTCAGTAATGTTTTATTTGTTTAAATGTTTTACCTCTCGGTAACATTAATGTTGATGGATTTTTTTATTTTTTTTTATTATTGCTAAGTTCCACCGTACACAAGCCATAAAAACTGTTAAATTTGTTTAAATATGCAGGGAGTGGTATAATGCGTCCAATCAGAAGGATTTACTGTAAAGGAGTGCAGGGGGGGTAGATATCACACAGTGTATATATCAGGAGATAATTTAATGTTTTCATTTCCTTGTTAGGAAATGTTTGTAAATTTGTACAAAAACACACAACTGATTTGTACCAAATTTGAACTCAAGAGTTCAAAATAAAAATTAAAAAAATCTTAACAAAATTAAATTATCTTGGTGTTTTTACAGTTAATTTTGTCCTTTTAAGTTCGATCAAATTTTGTATTTTGTAGCACTTGGAATATTTCATGGTGGTTTATTGTAAGCTTACTTATTGCTGCCGACATTTGTCTGTGAAGTTTTTCTTCAAACAATTTTCAAAAATAATAAGGTCAATTACATCCAAATAAGAGATATCCTAATGGGATGATGCGTAAAACTTACATAAAAAATGGTCTGGACTATACACGGGAGACTTTGCAATATGTTGTGCAATATTCGAAATTTTCAACTCTAAAAAAATGTTTGGAGAACCATAAGGCCTGGAATCCTGATAGTGTATTTGGTCAGGAGATTACTGGAATGGTAGGCTAGCCAGTATATACCTCAACTTTAATTCAAATGAATATGTCAAGGGTGCAATAAATCTTTGCTTGTCAAAGACATTACTGTACTTACTGAAATCATCGATACAGTGGCTCCTAAAATAAATATGTGACATCAATAAATCAGCGCCTGGTATAGGTGACATCAATAAATAAGCGCCTGGTATAGGTGACGTCATCAATAAGCCAGTGCCCGGTATAGGTGACGTCATCAATAAATCGGCGCCTGGTGTAGGTGGCCTCATCAATAAATCGGCGCCTGGTGTAGGTGGCCTCATCAATAAATCAGCGCCTGGTTTAGGTGACATCAATAAATCAGTGCCCGGTATAGGTGACATCAATAAATCAGAGCCTGTTATAGGTGACATCAATAAATCAGAGCCTGTTATAGGTGACATCAATAAATCAGAGCCTGTTATAGGTGACATCAATAAATCAGAGCCTGTTATAGGTGACATCAATAAATCAGTGCATGGTATAGGTGACCTCAATAAATCAGCGCCTGGTATAGGCCTGATAGTGTATTTGTTCAGGAGATTACTGGAATGGTAGGCTAGCCAGAATATACCTCAACTTTAATTCAAATGAATATGTCAAGGGTGCAATAAATCTTTGCTTGCCAAAGACATTACTGTACTTACTGAAATCATAGATACAGAGGCTCCTAAAATAAATATGTGACATCAATAAATCAGCGCCGGGTATGTGCGACATCAATAAATCGGCGCCTGGTATGGGTGGCCTCATCAATAAATCAGTGCCTGGAATAGGTGAAATCAATAAATCAGCGCCTGGAATAGGTGACATCAATAAATCAGCGTCTGGTATAGGTGACGTCAATAAATCAGCGCCTGGTATAAGTGACATCAATAAATCAACGCCTGGTATAGGTGGCCTCATCAATAACTCGGCGCCTGGTATAGGTGGCCTCGTCAATAAATCAGTGCCTGGTATAAGAGATGTCATCAATAAATCAGTGCCGGGTATAGGTGACATCATCAATAAATCAGCGCCTGGAATAGGTGACATCAAGAAATCAGCTCCTGGTATAGGTGACGTCATCAATAAGCCAGTGCCCGGTATAGGGGACGTCATCAATAAACCAGTGCCTGGTATAGGTGACGTCATCAATAAATCGGCGCCTGGTGTAGGTGGCCTCATCAATAAATCGGCGCCTGGGATAGGTGGCCTCATCAATAAATCGGCGCCTGGGATAGGTGGCCTCATCAATAAATCGGCGCCTGGGATAGGTGGCCTCATCAATAAATCGGCGCGTCGTATAGGTGGCCTCATCAATAAGTCAGCGCCTGGTATAGGTCACGTCATCAACAAATCAGCGCCTGGTATAGGTGATGTCATCAAGAAATCAGCGCCTGGTATAGGTGATGTCATCAGTAAATCAGTGCCTGGTATAGGTGTCATCATCAATAAATCAGTGCCTGGTCCAGGTGATGTCATCAACAAATCAGTGCCTGGTATAGGTGATGTCCTTCATAAATCAGCGCCTGGTATAGGTAATGTCATCAATAAATCAGTGCCTTGTATAGGTGACATCAATAAATCAGAGCCTGTTATAGGTGACATCAATAAATCAGCGCCTGGTCTTGGTGATGTCATCAATAAATCAGCGCCTGGCATAGGCGACGTCATCAATAAGCCAGTGCCTGGCATAGGTGACGTCATCAATAAACCAGTGCCTGGGATTCCGTCTTTGCGTATTGCAGAGTTATCTTCTCTTTGGAGCAGGTATTCGTGAAATCAATAAATCAGCGCCTGGTATCGGTGACATCAATAAATCAGTGCCCGGTATAGGTCACGTCATCAATAAATCAGTGCCTGGGATAGGTGACATCAATAAATCAGCGTCTGGTATAGGTGACATCAATAAATCAGTTCCTGGTATAGGTGATGTCATCAATGAATCAGTGCCTGGTATAGGTGACGTCATAAATAAATCAGCACCTGGTATAGGTGACGTCATAAATAAATCAGCACCTGGTATAGGTGACGTCATAAATAAATCAGCGCCTGGTATAGGTGATGTCATCAGTAAATCAGTGCCTGGTATAGGTGGCCTCATCGATAAATCGGCGCCTGGTATAGGTGACATCAACAAATCAGCGCCTGGTATAGGTGACAGCATCAATAAATCAGTGTCTGGTATAGGTCCCGTCATCAATAAATCAGCGCCTGGCATAGGCGACGTCATCAATAAGCCAGTGCCTGGTATAGGAGACGTCATCAATAAACCAGTGCCTGGTTTAGATGCCGTCATCAATAAACCAGTGCCTGGTTTAGATGCCGTCATCAATAAACCAGTGCCTGGTTTAGATGCCGTCATCAATAAACCAGTGCCTGGTATAGGTGACATCATCACTAAATCAGTGCCTGGTATAGGTGTCATCATCAATAAATCAGTGCCTGGGATAGGTGACGTCATCAATAAATCGGCGCCTGGTATAGCTGGCCTCATCAATAAATCAGTGCCTGGAATAGGTGACATCAATAAATCAGCACCTGGTATAGGTGACGTCATAAATAAATCAGCGCCTGGTATTGTATTTGGTCAGGAGATTACTGGAATGGTAGGCTAGCCAGTATATACCTCAACTTTAATTCAAATGTATATGTCAAGGGTGCAATAAATCTTTGCTTGTCAAAGACATTACTGGACTTACTGAAATCATCGATACAGTGGATCCTAAAATAAATATGTGACATCAATAAATCAGCGCCTGCTATAGGTGATGTCATCAATAAATCAATGCCGGGTATAGGTGGCCTCATCAATAAGCCAGTGCCTGGTATAGGTGACGTCATCAATAAACCAGTGCCTGGTTTAGATGACGTCATCAATAAACCAGTGCCTGGTATTCCGTCTTTGCGTATTGCAGAGTTATCTTCTCTTTGGAGCAGGTATTCAATGTTACGTCACTTGTTTGTGAGAGTAACGTCATCAATTTTTGAGAAAACGACGTAAATTTCTCGCACAAACCAAAACACAAACAAACTCATTGATTGATACCTGGAACATCCTTAAATGACCATAGCTGTTAATAGGACGTAAACCACAAACAAATCAAGCCAAGCATTTAAGGACGTTCCAGATTTTGTTGGTGGAAGAAAGCCGAAGAACCAGGAGAAAAACCACCAACCTGAGGCCAGTACCTCCATGGCGACTGTCCACATTGGTCTCGAATCTGAGACCCAGTGGTAGAGGGCTAGTTGCAGCAGAATGTCAGACGACTTAACCACTTGGCAACCGCGGCCCCACATTGTATAGATCTATAACAAATATACTTTTTATATCTTCATTTTTTTATTTACAAAAAATCACAATTTCATAATATAAAAGTATAAAATACTCAACATATGTACATATATATGCTTATGAATATTATATATGTAAGCAAACCAGCTAGCAGGGTAATTAAATTGTCAAAATATTAAAAATGTCCTGGTTGGTACAAAATATCTGCTTATCCAACATAAATAAAATTCGTCCATCACGTGACTTACTTGTCCATTATGTGACCTCTCAATCACGTGACTAACTCGTCCACCACGTGATTTCCAAATTGAACTCTTGGTCCGTACCAGTCACGTGGTTTCCTTGTTAATTTATCCATCAGGTGGTTTCCAAAAACAATTCGTTCATCTATTTGGTTACATCTTGTACTTGATCTCCGTGTTTATGTCAGTTCCTGAGTTAATTCGTCCGAGGGATTTCCAAGATAAAACTTATCAATTGCGTCACTTTCTATATAAACCTCGTCCTTTACGTATACGTGCCTATTTTTGGCTGTTGACCACAATCACGTGATATTCTTTTTACTAGCGGTACGGCCGATTTGATGTGCCATGACGACAGAAAATGTAAAAGCGGCGATCTGTAAAAAGAAAAGAGAAAAATATGTTTAAAGATTTTTTTGTGTTTGAAAAGTAGGTTAAGCTTAAGTGTCAGTTATAAAAGACAGTCATTGTTTATAGTACAAGGAAGTGTTACATACAAATTTACTACGTATTTAGCAGGGTTAACTTCAAGTCATACTGCTCCTATAGTTTCCTAAGTAACCCTGCATCATAGATGGGCAGCGCCAATATCGTTACCTCAAAAACAGTACACTTTAGCTTNCTTTTACCGTATAGTAGTAGCTGCAAGTTAAGTGGAATGAAATCATTTAATTCGCGGTAGAGTTTAATTCTCTGATCTACATAATTATTGCAAGTAAAAAAGAAGTGATATGTATCTTCGATAGGATGTCCACATTGACAGTGCTGAAAATCTATTAAATTAGCATGAAATAAGTGATTGTTTAAGGTACTAGAGTTATTTCTCAATCTGGAGTTATTTCTCAATCTAGCTTCTTAGTTTACTTCCCCAACAATTAAGTATATGACGTCCTCTGTGGTGGGTGTAGCCTATTTATATCGCAGCCTTTAGACTGCAAAGTACAGACAGATACGTATCCAAAGTGCCCGGATCGCGGAAAACAAAAGGGGCGAAAAGAGGGCTGCAAGCGCCACTGGAACTTACCTCGACCAACAGGAAGATAATACATCCGATGATGGCTTCGATGTTATACTTATTCAAAGTCTGGTACAACACGTCAAAGCATCCCTGTAAAAAAAGTATGACGTCATCAAAACATGTGCGACATCTAAAATTCATTTAAATGTAAATGAATACTCCAAAGATAACGAACAATGACGTGTATACAACAAATCGACTATATAATGGAAGATACCAAAAAATACTTGTTTTATGAACGGCAACGTTATCTTAATTATCAGATAACGTCAATTGAAAATATAACCATGGGAGATAACCTTAAAACAATTTTATTCTGAAGGAAGATTACTCCAGCATAAATCGCTCTGTATCAAATGAGAGTGATGCAACATATCCTTTAGATAACTCTAACACATACCGCTTGCGTCACATATATGTGAAGTAACATTATTCGTAAGGGAGATAACTCTAACACATATTTGTGGTATATAAGTTAAAAAGTGGCACATATACCCTTAAAGATGAGATATGACTCCTAACAAAATACATCTCAAGTTCAATATTTATTTTAGCGGTATATGCTTGCAGTTACCAGTGACATAACTCTAAAACAAATTAGAGGTATAATGATAGTATTTTTGTGTAATGCAATAATTCAAATCTCTGAAAGTCGCTTAATTTTCCCCGATGAAAAGTTACCTAAATTACGTATATTTCCCATGTATGTCGGTACTTACCCTGTCTACGAAGGAGTTGAGCGAGGTGGGTGCTATCGTACAGGCCTGTCGAGCGTTAAACTGTGCGTTCTGTGGGTTAGCGTCCCTACAACAAAACCCAGGGATCTGATCAGTGCCCCTGTTGAAGTTCCTCCACCAGAATGTGTACACCATGTCGTTGGTTTGGATCAATGGGTTGACGCCGCAACAGTCAAACTGGACACAGAAAAGCAATGAAAGCAATGCATTATACATTTTCTTTACTGTTTAAAACTGTAAGAGTTACTTGTGCAAAATAAGTCAAATGACGTTATACCAGGAAAATAACCAAAATGCCTTAATCGGGTAGTATCGGCACTCTCCGTAAACGAGAACACAAATATTCCAGTGATGTAGGTGCGGAATCTGTCGAGTAATATATTAGCGTTTACGGAAAATGCCGACGGTTTCCGATTTTCAAATGTCTTTTATGGCGACCGAAACCGGAAGTTATAGAACGAAGTTTATCAACAACGTAATTGGAATTCGTCAATACGAGTTTAAACAAAGGAATTTATAAAGCTCTTTCAGCTTAAAATTGACTATAAACATGTTTGTAAATTAATAATAGATTAATGAGTGAACAGTTTAAAATAAACTTAACAACCGCAAAAAATACCCATAATGCTGTCATGACGTATCTGTTAGCAAAAAAGTGCAGTATAGAAGTTATACACAATGCTTATCAGTATAATTATAGCCGGAAGTCGCCTGACAATAAACCGGAAGGAGGAAACGCCAGTCATGAAACCGGTAATATCCTCCAGCTCGTTTAACCGGAAGTGCACAGTGTACTTACTGTCATAAAAAGCCAGTTCCAGGCTGTGGTGAGGGCACTGCCTTGGTTGCCCTCGTAAGGTCGAAGTAGTTCCAACATCCGGTTCTTCACTGTCGAATTCAGCTGTAGAAAAAAATATATTTGTTAGTTCAAGCTGATACAAAGGAAATATCTCAACGTAAATATTTTATGTGTGATAAAACATGTTTAAGGCTGATATGTTCCTGCGATCTCTGAAAATTAATGTCAAACACTAAATTGCCTTACAGATTGATCGCTGTACCAGTGAAGATATTAAAAATACTTCTTACTCTATTATAATATTGTAAAAAATATATTAATTTACTCGCATCATTTATTTTCAGTTTCACAGTTGAGACAGGAGCAGTATCAATGCAGTGAAAGTGTACTTCCGGTTTTCCCTCTATTTAAATATTAAAATAAAAGCCAGATGATCATAAGACGAGCTTCAACAACTTACGTCATTTTTCATCTGGGACACTCCCCCGGCGATGACAAGCTGCATGATAATGACGATGATCACAACGATGGCATACTGGAATTTGACGAGGGAACAATTAATGTATATATATGTTCAAATAATAGTATTAATCTGCATTTGCAATATACACCAATGATATTAACAACTCCTTATTCAAGCCATAAATAACCAACACCATGAGAACATAATACGTGTTTAACTAACTCAGCCCAATTTACAATACGCCATAATTCCGCTTGTGTGTATAGCTCACTATAGACAGACCTAACAAGTACACGTTTACGCTTGTGTGTAAAGCTTACTATAGATAGACTTAACAAGTACACGTTTATGGTTGTGTGTATAGCTCACTATAGATAGACTTAACAAGTACACGTTTCTGCTTGTGTGTATAGCTCACTATAGACAGACTTAACACGTACACGTTTCTGGTTGTGTGTATAGCTCACTATAGACAGACTTAACAAGTACACGTTTACGCTTGTGTGTAAAGCTTACTATAGACAGACCTAACAAGTACACGTTTACGCTTGTGTGTAAAGCTTACTATAGATAGACTTAACAAGTACACGTTTCTGCTTGTGTGTTTAGCTCACTATAGACAGACTTAACACGTACACGTTTCTGGTTGTGTGTATAGCTCACTATAGACGGACTTAACAAGTACACGTTTCTGCTTGTGTGTTTAGCTCACTATAGACAGACTTAACACGTACACGTTTCTGGTTGTGAGCAATTTTCAACCAATATTTAATTATATTTGTATATCTCGTATGTTTAAGAGGCGTTCAAATATGTTCGCGGTATTATCTTTTTTATGACGAATATGTCAGTTTTCTCAAATCACTTAATCTAGTATATATTTAAATTTTCGGGTTTTCTTTATTCAGACTTTCATCGCTAAACTGGAAGAAGGAGGGGTGGCCAAACTAGAAATCAACTATTTCAGGTGGGTTTTTTTTTAGGTTTTTCTTAAATATATCAGTTTCTTTATATACATTACACTAGGTCCATATAGGCAGAAAACAAATAAATCAACTTTAGTTATTGATTAGTTTATTTTATTCATTAACTAATGTATTTACATGCCTATGTATTGATTTATAAGTACTACACCCGGTCCCATGCCTGATATATAGACTCACGCAGAAAACAAATAAAACTATCGATATCAACTTTTCATTCTCAATATTCAAATGTAATGAAGTTTTCTGTTCAATATAAAGTTCACTGTATGATCAGCCAGACTAGCATTTACTTATTTATTTCTATGACAATTCATAATTAACTGAAGTGTCATATATATTTTTTTTACTTTTTTGGTTGACTTCTGTAAGAATGGGTGGGGCAAATATTTTACTATCGCGTTTGCTATGTAAAGTGAACCATATTGAGTCAAAGTGGTATATTACTCAAAACATAGTGAACGTAATGTCAGAGTCCGCCCCGGGCTATTTTGTTCCGGATGATTTCACGGTAAAAAAATCGGTTAGTATGTCACTTGAACTATTACTTACCGGTACACAGGCCGCGAGCGAAAAAAATGACTTACATGTGTATTTACCGCGTGAATCATATCTAGGTATGATCAAGACTGATCGATCTCGCACTGACAATTCGGAGAATTCGATTTTCCCCCCATTGATACGCAGAAATCGTTTATCCGGATGTTATCCACAATACTAATATTTCATGGGATCTGCGCTGCTAACTTTTATTGTGTTCAGAGCAATTTGACTGGTTGGATCATAGGGACCGACTGATTTAGCTGGTATTTGTTTCTGGTGAGCCTTCCGATACTACAATAAGATTTGCATTTCCGACAGTCTTTTTACCGTGTCAATGTTTAATTTAAAAACGAGCATGCCCCTGTATGCGTACAAAACGAGGCGCTATTGCAAATCAAATTAAAATCTACCGAAGCAGTGTCCTGTAATTATTCGTTTCGTACATACGCGGAAGCAATTTAAAAACGCATTGTGGTCTAAAAATTCCGAAAACAAAAAAACAAAAACTTTGTGTCATATAAGTCGGTCTTGGAAAAGAAACACGATTTCATTGTTTGATATGATAATAGTATATCATGACGTACTACAATTTGTCAAAATATAAAATGAAACACGCACAGAACGAGTAAGACATTTCACACGCAAACTTACGATAATGAGCAGTACTCTCTGTTGTTTCGACGCGCCGATGATTCCGACAACAGCAACGATTACGACGATGACTCCGACAGCGATGAAGAGGCCGGCGATGAGTTTGACGAGATTTGCCAAGGTGAAGCTCCCGATCGTGATCTGGTTCATCACTTCCGCTACATTATGACCAGTGGCGCCACTGTTGTTGTAAAACACGATTCCACCAATAAACGCAGCTACGCCCAGTATCTGAGGACAAGGAGACAAAGGGTATTAAGTAAACTGATCAGAGAATGAGGAATTCCATGATGGAAAGATGGAGGAATTCGCTGATTGAAAGAGGGAGAAATCGATTGATGGAGAAATGAAGGGAGAAATCGAATGGAGAGATACAGGGGAGAATTGTTTAAGGTGAAATGTGAGTGAAGAAGGAGAGAGGAAAACATGGTGGAGAGATGGAGAGATGAGTGAATATAGGATGAGGGAGAGGGGGAGGGAGGGAGGAGTGGATTAATGGAGAGATGGAATAAAGAATTAAATGACGGAGAAATATTGGAATGAAATAATTTCCATAAAATTCCCATGAACTTGAATTAAAAAAGAATTTTTTAATTGATTTATTAAGTTATAAATATGTTTTTCTATTAAAGTAATTTGTAAAGACTACAAATCGGTTTAATTAATTCTGTAAGTAACTAAAACGGTTTTTTCTGCAAAATGTGAGTTTTTGTTACTAAAATGGCAAACAGTAGAAAGAGGGCACGTTTCGACACAATGTTTTCGTAACTAATATTTCATATTTCTGACCATATCCGTAAAAACCAAATATACCAGCTGTTAAAGATGAAAACATAATTGTATATATTTGTTGTGAAATATGCTTGTTTCTTGCGCGTAAAAGTGAAAATCCGATTTTACACTTTTATAAGAAAGATTTTTCATGATGCAAATATACTCAAAAAGAAATCAAAGACCAACAGTTTACCTTGCGGAACACCAGAACATCGACAATTCTACCACAATGTTTAAATGGTTAATGCTGTTATGGGACATGTGTTTCTCCCTCTCTTCTTTTTATATACCCGCCACTAAAACTTATATAACGAACAAAATAGTTCATAATCTTGTAAATTGATTAAAAATAAATAAATTGTTCACTTACCAAGAATATAGAATTCAAGACAATTAGAAATACTCTGCCAATTTTCCCAAGGATATTCATGATGGTCGGCGTGCACGTGTCCAGACAGCCGCTAAATCCGAAATGTAAATGATACTCTCAAAACATCGAATTGGGGGTTTATCAACCTCGATATATCACGCATGCGCATTGGAGACGGTATGTAATATTTTGACATATCAATAACCGTGCGTGTCAATCAATAATTGGTCATCGATTACCCAGTGGTCTACATTCCGGATGACCTGTATCATATCAATGTCTTACTTATAAATTATATATAATTAGGCTTTTTTATGCGACGCTGTCTATTACTACATGTAATATAATCAAGCTAAGATATATTTTTTTCATTTGGCCCCGATCCCGATTTTCTGTTATTGTTTCAACATATATATTTTTTATTTCAGTTTATGCATTAAGGAGGAAGTAATTTTTTAATAAAGAAACAGTAAAAATCTCTACAGTTCTAACCTACTTATAATTGTTGATCTGTTCAATAAGAAACACCTAACCATAGCCGTTTTTACTTTTCAAATTGACGTTTGTCTTCCACCTTTTCGTTTGTTTGATGTTATTTTATTTAACTTGTATTAGCTAATTTTTATTGACCCTGATTACCTCTTTTTGTGTTTTTGCGCCGTTAAGATTCAAACAAATGACTTTTTTTTTATATAAAAACGGAGCTTTTGATAGATTTGTTTATTCTAGTTAAATTGTCTCGGTTTTAACTATGTATGAGACAGTAATTAACTCCCTTTGTATATTCTAAGCGTTCTTGTGATGCACATTTAGAGACTATGCGTTAGAATGGTATTGTAGATCTGTAAGCAATTATAACGATAGTGAAGACAAATTGATTTATCAAATTCTCAAAGCAGTCCCTCCCTATTTATAGACATAAATACGAACATTTCTCAATCACATCATAGAATGTATAGATTAACAGTCACATACAAAACAAATTTATATAAAAGTAAACCATTTACATGAATATAACAAAAATAAACACCACACAATACAAGTACGGTCACAGTCAGGAACAAAAGTACTAAAATGAAAATTGGATATACTGGATTGACAAAATAGAAAAACTATGTAAGGACGCGTATGACTTCCGGTAATAGATATAGGTCTCACACGTATATACACAGTTAGGTATATAAAAGAACATTAGCTACGTTTAATAATATGCTTTTGTTTGTATTGTGTCTAACTTGCCTTCGTTTACAATGGAATACAAAACAAATATTGTGAAACAATAACAACCTGTTTATACATTTAGGAATAAAGAAAGAAAGCAAGGCATTAAGGCTCACCTTATCTGATTCCTCGTGCAGAACAAATTTCGTTTTTACTTTTACACACTGGACCCTTGTGACCTTGAATGAATGCCTTTATCAGTATTTCATGCCACCTATTCCTGGACATGAACAACATACGGGTTATATTTCAAGACCCAGGGTAGTTTGGTTCCTATACAAGAAAACAATAAATAGAAAGTTGAGAGAAAGCACAATATTTCCATTGTGAATTAAAATTGAATAGATTTATCTATTTTTTTCTTTTTGTAATTATTCATGCTGAAAGATATTTTTGGCTTCCAATTTTCAAGAACTATGAAAATTAGGCTCTCTTTAGAACTATGTTTATTAACGTGAACAAAATGAGAGTGCTCTCATTTATGCAAATTGCACATTAATTTCCCATTAAAGCAATAAAATACGGTTGTATCATGAATAAGTGTCATATTTGTTATCAAAATAATATATTTCACACGATAATGTTAGCATTGTATATAAAAACCATTGTGTCGTTGTTGTTTTTATTGAAAACTAGGGAGAAAATTGAAGCCCACTTTTAACACTGACATTGGTGTTTGTCAAGGTGGTCCTATATTTGTCATCAAATAAATTTAAAAACTTGTTTTCTGATAATGCTCCGAACATACGTCAGTCGTCAGTCATGTATTTATTATATTTAATTTCGAATATGTAAGCGAGTCGATGTATTTTTCATTTTCAAGTTTTTGATTGTGTGTGTGGGAGGGGGGTATCTATATTTTTCTGTTTTCTCAAAGGGGGATACATTTTCAATTTTTGTGCATGACCAGCACCGAGATTGAATGCCTCCTTTATTAAGTTGTTCCAAGTCTGTACCTCCCATGCTCTACTGTGGTTATATCCGTTGTCAATTTCACACATTAGATATAACATATATATGATATTTGAAAACGAAAATCCCGATTCCGCACGCGAGGAACGATTTTGTCACGTCAAGCCCGAGGACATACACTGCGCATGCTGTCATAGGTAAATGGGTGTTGGTCATTTAGCCTGGTTTCAGTGCAATGCTTAAAATGTGACACTTTCTGACCACATGACTAACTAATTCAACATGCCTGACCAATAGATGACCCAAAAGGCCGGGAGCCATTCGTACCTGTGTGCACGTGGTCAAGCCAATGTCTCAATATGTGCAAATATTTTTGATTGAGACATCGAGTGAGTAAATATCGAATTTAGGCAAGACTGCCTACTAAAAATAGATCAGTTAATTATAGAATAAGTCATTTCAAAAGAATGGGTTTGTGGAGAGAGCTAGGGCTTCATTCGACGACAGACCGATATAAAAAAGTCGATAAAACGTCAGAATAATTTGGACTAGGGCTTCATGAGTGTAACCTTTTTGCGTTCATACCGGCATGGACATTAAAAAAACGCCTTTAGATCCATATACTTACACTTTTGCTACATGTATAGAACAATTGTTTAATTTTATTCATTTGTTCTATGACGCAGGCGCATTCTCCATGTTTTCCGAATCGAAGCGACAATTAAGACTCTCATTTAACAAAGTTCATCTATGACGTCATAAGTAAACCACGTGTTACATCACGAGTTTTTGCTTTCATACTCAAATGAAATGCATTTCTGCTGGTAATGTTCATATAGTGGGTTGCAGCGCTAATGTAAATATAGCGTTATATATGAACCTCGAATTATTATTATTATATTCAAAGAAATCCTGGCGAATTTTACAAAGCTGTGTTTTAGACGATTCTTCGTTTCACAGGGTTTGCTACTTTGGGGCAATTTTTTCCACAAATCGCTGGAATATGAGAATTAAAGGCAATTTTGAGACAGTAAAGCGATATAAAGGGTTTCAATATTGGTTTTGATTGAATAATTGATGGTCTGATCTTTGGAAATCTTCAGAAGTATTGCCAAATATTAAGTCATGGAACATGATTTATTTCTTATTGCGTCTACGTAATTCTAGTGATCGTTTTCCTTTGTGTGTGTGTTGGAGTTAAAGGGTTAAAGGTTTTAAGTTGGAAGTCCTTTAATTATTCTACCAGCTTTATCATTTGTAAATTGTCGAGTTTCGTCGAAATCTGAGTATTACAAGAGTTCCAAACTTCACACGAGTATTTAAGGAGTCGACAAATATACACTAAATACAGTGTGTACGTCTTTACCGGTAAGGACATATATACACTAAATACAGTTATGTGTTTACCGAATACAATAATTTGACTTGTTACTCGGTGGAAGTATAAGGAGGCAGTACCCAAGTCGGATCAGTGCCCAAATCGGATCACTTTTTGCAAAATTACTTAGTTATAACAATGATAGAATAGATATAATATGATTCCTCCTCAGATTTTTCAATGAATGAATAAAATGATGGTTTGGTGATCCGATTTGGGTACTGTCACCTTAATCAAATTGTCCGCTGTATAATTTATATAAATCCAGATAAGAATGGGCCCAAGGACAGAACCTTGTGAAACACCAGCTTTAACTGTAACTTGTGCAGACCTATGGTTTTGTAGGATTCAGTTCCTTTATACTTGATGGATAGTTTGTATATTGATTTAAATGTTTGTGTATTAAAGCCCTGTGCCGGAATCTGTCAAATGTATTAAAAAGCAAGAAAAAAATAGGAAAATTACGAGCTTGCCAGGATTCGAACCTGGAATCTTCTGATCCGTAGTCAGACGCGTTATCCATTGCGCCACAAGCCCTCCATACCCCAATGCGGGTATTTAAATGGCTAAGAGGATGTTCTCGACTTAACATAGGCAAATGTTCTGAATATTTAGGTTGGTTGAATATATTTTTATTGGATGAAATTGAAATCAAACTTATGCCCTTGTGTGCAACGTGCCGTATTAGCATGCTACCGCACTGCTTCACACAATATCTCTGTACATTGTTAAAATGCGCGGGAATCTATAGTCGGAACTCTTTTTTGTTATGAAACAACAAATAGTACCAATGTGGATTGCAACATATTTGGAAAACTTTTATTATGACTTACACTGGCCTACATCATCTGTGGTTGTTTGATTACCGGTGATACTTGCAGTTTTGGATGTCAGCTGTTTGATTCCCTGATATCATTTATGGCCGCTCGACCGAGAAGTGTGTCAGATAGTTCGAAAACTGATCAGTTACATTGGTCTGCTATTGGTTTAGAAACCAATCAGGATGGTTATATCCAACTGAAGTCCGTCACTGGACGAGCGGCGAGGAAACGACAACAGGAAGATCTTGTAAAAGATGCCAAAGTATTTATTCCTGGTATGGTGAATTTAATAATAAAAAAAAGATAGGTGCTACGGGCATGTAGACCCATCAGAGTAAGCTTAGCTGCGATAACGTTACACGTAGCTTCTGACGACGAGATGTTTTTATAGGGCTATATTCATACTATTGCGTCGTCAGACCGGGACAGAAGAGACCGGGTATTAATATAAGTACTAGAATAAGCCCCGGCCTGCCCCCTCCTAAATACAAAATCCCATTACTCAGCACACAGAAGATTTTATCTTCAAATTGTTGAAGTTGGTCAGTACCATTTAGAAGCACAGCAAATAAAGTACAACGGTGAAAGTGCCCAAAATTTAATAAAATATTCAAAATTTGAAAGTATCGAAACACCTCTGTACTGACAGTGACACGTCAGTACCCCATCCGATAAACAGCGCTAACAAGAATTTTTTAAGGACGGATAGACCCGGACGCAGGGTATTTGTGCTCCAACCATTCGATGATAAAACGACACTTCAGTACCCCATTGACTTCTGTGGCCAGGACATTGTGTTGAGTTGTTTTCCATCCACTTTACTAGCTACCTAGTAGTTTAGTTATCCAGCAGACAACTGGCAATGCAAGGGCAGAGGAGAATAGGTTTTAATATTAAATACCTGACCATTGTACGTCTCTGTGAATATACTCTTCTTCCCGATACAAGTTGTACTCAGCTTGAGTGTAAATGACTCTGCGCAGCTCAAGACGATAAGACACCTCCAATTAAAACAGGGTAAAAGAGAAATCAGCTTAATCTAAAAGTAAAAACTATGTCCCCTTGGTTAAAGATGTTACTAGAGTAACAGGAAAGAGAATAGTGTGCTTCCACCGGGGATCGAACCCTCGATCTCCAGGTTCCTAGTCAGATGCTCTACCACTGAGCTAAAGGGAAATTCCCCCTAGTTCGAAGCTAGAAGGCAACCTTAATCATATGTACAATTGAACCCTGCCACACCACTCCTCCCTTTTTAAATGTGTTTGCCCTCAAACACCACAACCCAGGTTCTAACTCCCTGTCACTACAGAGAGGGCCACAGACACTATATGTTACAGGAAAGAGAATAGTGTGCTTCCACCGGGGATCAAACTCTCGATCTCCAGGTTCCTAGTCGGACGCTCTACCACTGAGCTATAGGGAAATTCCCTCTAGTTCGAAGCTAGAAGGCGACCTTAATCCTATGTACAATTGAACCCTGCCACACTAGGTGTGAATGGGGCCAGGGGATGGTACTCAACCTGGCCTTCAAATGACCCAAAAGTTGTTGCTTCCACATGTAATACTTGTTTTGGTAGTTTGCAATTTTTTTTTGACGTCATCATTTACAGGGAATAAAATCAATTCTTTGTTAATGTCTGCAAGGAGGATGAAGCATCATAAGGGCTCAGAAACTGGTCACCCGATGCTATAGCTGCAATAACATAGCCTTTGACGAGGACACAATTTTATATATTGTGTCCCCGGCAGAGGTGACCAGGTATTAATATTAGTACTACCCATGCTAGTACTACCTGTAGCTCATTTTTGACGCCCCAAAAGGATCTTTAACTCTTTGTTTTGAAATAAGATATCTATGAAACATGCATATTTTTCCCCACAAATTTCAGGGAAGATGTGATTTGATTTCTGAAATTACTAAATGTCAATTGACACCCTGAAATACTGTGTATTTACTGTAAAAGGAAACTATAATCTTATGACACATAACTACACATGTAGCTCACATCACAGGAATACAATGCAAGGTAGTTCAGGATCTGTTTTCAGTCAAATAATTGCTCCATATTCATCAATAAAATCATAAATGATAATGATTTAATCATTTTTTTAACAGATGCTGAATTTTTCACTCCAATGAAGAAGCCGAAAAAATCTGAATGGCTAGCAGAACACAAAACAGAGGCACAATCTTTTAAAAGATTTCTGCAAGGGGCAGCCAAGTACCCCACACCGAAACGCAATGTGATTTATCTTCTGCCGTTGCAATTTGATGAGACAGTTGTTCCAGCTGATATTTTAGATCCTTTAAAGCAGTTTGCGTCCATATTTTTTGGAATTAAGCTGAAAGTCATGAAAGTAAGAAATTTAAAAGGAAAAGTTCCTGATCGATTTAATAATAACTCTAATACTTATCAAGTTGACGCAGGTCAAGTTCTTAAGGAAATGACAACGCTTGTTCCAGATGATGCTTTCTGTGTCGCAGGAATAACAATGTGTGATCTGTATCCTAAAGACTCTTGGAACTTTGTGTTTGGTTTGGCACAATCACAATCAGGATGTGGTGTCTACTCTCTAGCTCGCTACCTGTCAAACTTTGGAAATCAACCTACAAGTGTCTACAACCCGGAAAGGTAAGAGTTTTAAATAAAACCAAAACCAAAATTATTGTCAATAAGATCCTGATCACAGAAGTGTTTGTATTAATTGGCCGCTTTCCCATCTTAAAAAATGCAACTTTGCATGATTTATCGCTGATAACAATGTTAAATCTATAAAACTTTGAGTAAACAACAACGAGAAAATGGTTCACCGAGTGATTATTTAAAAACGTGAGGTTTTGCGGACTTTCTGTAAATTCATGTCCCATGCCGGGAGACTTTAGCGAGGTGAAAATCTGTGAGATTTTGCCTCACACCGTGAGATCTGGCATGTATGTTGACTTGATCAAGGCTATCATTAGTAACTGCTGCTATATCAGTGTTCTCACTAGGTATGAAATAGATGGTTGATTTGAAAAGAACAACCGATATCATGTTCACACGCTGTAGTGTTGACATACTGGTAGACATGCATGTACATATTTTGAAAAAGTAGCCAGTTCAGAGTTGATGAATGCCAGGCTCCTTTCAAATAAAACTCTGAGCCAGCTACTTTTTCAAAATACCAGGCTTTTAATGACAACACTGTTTATGGACTTGAGCAAGGCTGCTTCTTGTGCCTTTCATACAATACTAATCACTACATTACCTAAGCACAAGATTTTGATTTTGTTACAAGCATGCATTGAATTTTTCACCAATATTGTTAACTGTAATAGACAGGATCTGTGTCCCTCCAGATAAAACTCTCACAATCTGAGTGGGAGAGATAACCTGTCAACTCTCACAATCTGAGTGGGAGAGATCACCTGTACGCTCTCATGATCACAATCTGAGTGGGAGAGGTAACCTGTCAACTCTCACAATCTGATTGGGAGAAATAACCTGTACGCTCTCATGATCACAATCTGAGTGGGAGAGATCACCTGTCAACTCTCACAATCTGATTGGGAGAGATAACCTGTCAACTCTCACAATCTGAGTGAGAGAGATAACCTGTCAACTCTCACAATCTGATTGGGAGAGATAACCTGTCAACTCTCACAATCTGATTGGGAGAGATAACCTGTCAACTCTCACAATCTGA